ATTAAAAATGGAAAAATAATTAAATATAATTAAATATCTAAATTAAATACAAAATGCTAAACATGTATAAAATCTAAAACTTAAATTATTTTTGAAATTTTTTATTTATATTTTTCTTTTCATTTTTCATTTTTTTATTTTTTCAAATCATATTTTTCTTCGGGAGAGGTCGGGCCTCTCTTCTTTGTGTTTTTTTTTATCTTTTTTTTTTTTTTGGAGAGAGGCTTGAGTTGGATTGAAATCAGCCTAGCCCCTTTCAATTTTATTTTGGAAGGATCGGGTCAAAATTTGGATTGATTGCGATCCGGTCTTTATTCCACTCGGGTTAAGACTAGGCTCTACCCGTATATTTTTTTATTTTACGGCTAAGGCAAAGTATAGCAACACAAACCCATTTCTCTCGTTTTTTTTTTCTTTTTATTTCTTCTTTCGATCAAATCGTCTCCTATCTCTCTGCCTCCCTAATTCATCTTGCGTCAAAACTCTCCTCTCTCTTCTATTATGTTCTTCCTACTTCTTCTCATCCAATCACTAAAGCTACAAACTAAAAGTTTTCCTAGATTTCCATTACATGCCGTAAACACCCAAAATTGCAATTTCAACAATCTGTCACCCCAAGAATGAATTGATATGGCAAATCATTGAGTATTACTCGTATTTAGGGGTGAGCAAACGATTCGGTTAACCGAAAATCGAATAAAACCGAACCGAATTATGAAATTTGATTCGGTTTTAAATATAAAATTATACAATATAAAATCGAATCGAAAAAACCGAAATTATTTTGGTTCGGTTCGGTTTTTAGAAAAAAATTTCGGTTACGACCGAAAACCGAAATAAAAAGTAAAAAAAAATTTCTAATTTTTAAATCCCTAACTTTTCAATCTTCATTCTTATTGAAATTGAAACACGCGGATGGGAAGTAAATTTTGAGGATTCGTTAAGGTAAGAAAAGAAAGCGACGAGTATAATTAATTGGGATACAATGTGTTTGAATGAGCAAATTTATTACACTTTAACTCGTTTTTATTGAAGCTTAGTTAAAATCTTCGAGGATTTGTGATTGTTTATAAAAAGGATTAATTGATAAGAAGATGTTACTTCATTGGCTAGTGGACTAAGTGCTAGTACAAAACATCTCTCTGTAATGATTTTTTTTTTACGGTAAAATATTTTGGTTAAAACCGAAATATTTCGAAACGAAACCGAAATAATTCCGTTACAAACCGAATTTACCGAATTTATTCGGGTCGGTTTTGGTTTTTATTTTTTTTAATTCGGTTAACCAAAAACCGAACCGAATCGTACAAAACCGAACCGTTTAACCGAATGCTCACCCCTACTCGTATTGTTGTTGTGAATGATTTGCGGGGGATTATTTTGAATGAGGATGCTCCACTCGGTGTTGTTGTCACCGATGATTGGGATTGAGAAGATGACCCCGGATGTCTCGAATTCCTTTTCTTACAATCATTGAATCCGTTAGAGTGATTGATTTTAGGGAACTCAATAGCTTTAAACGAAGCTAAAAACCTTGATTGCGTGTGAATAATGAGTAATGATTTGGGGGGTTGATTAGATGATGATTGAATGATTTAGGGTTTGACTAAGGGATTACGAGTAGTTATAGGGTGATTTGAGTGTTTCCGAAAGCTCCGAAGATTGGAATAAAACCCAACAACTTAAAACAAAACCAAGGTGTTCAAGAACATTGCCGGAAAAATGAAGAACAAGCCTAGAAAAATGAACCCCAGTCTAGAAATTCTTCAAAGGAAATTCAAGAAAAACAAAATTAAGCCTCCCAACCTAGAAATATGAATGAGGAGTGGTGGGATGATTGGAACCGAACCCGAGAAAATCCAAAAGCGATCGAGTAACTAGACTAATGATCGATGAATTGGTACCAAGAAACTTAAAGGTCGCGAAGACACGAAGAACACCGTTCGTAAATTCCCGGAAAAGCAACAACTAGAATTTCAAAACAAACTTCTTTTTCTCAATTTTTACTCTCACTCAAACCCGAAATTTCTTCTTCCTTTTCTACCCAAAATTTCACTCTACCGAAGCACAACTTGCCCAAAAAAAAAATACGGAAGAATGCTACCGGCCCAAAACCAAAATTTCTTATTTCTTTCCGATTTTCACTCCCTCTCTCAACCTAGAACTCTCAAACTCGTTTTTTTGGATCCCCCTTTTTTCTACCCGGGATGCTCGCCTTTTTATAGACCTAACATGTTTGAGTTTCATCTCAAATCAACTACTTTCAAATTCGAATTTCATCCAAAATCAAATATCTAAAAATTCGGATTTTCAACTGTTCAATTTGAATTCAACTTCGTTATTGAAATATTATCCCGATTAGCTAAACAACGAGAGAGAAATTGAATTTGAAAAAAATCAAAAAGAAGATTGGGATAGACTTCAATCAGTTTCCCTCTTTTTTTTTTGCATTTATTTTTATTTTTTTACTTTTATTATTATTTTTTTTGTGAGAAATTTTATTTATTTATTTTTTAATAATAAAAATGGAATTGGTTTTTTGGTTATGACAATTCCTTTTCTTCTTTACTTTCTATATTTTTATATGCAACGATGGAGATGGAGTACTTGGGATCAACAAAATTCTAAAACTACCAAACCAACTCTTTTTAAACGAAGAAAAAAATCCAGAGCAAGGACCCTAACAGTCTGGAATATATCTTGAGAAAAGGTTTTATGCCCTACAGCCGATGGCTCCCTTCCTTTAAAATGTCAGATGATATCTGGATACTTTCACTTTCAATCCCCTTGGATTCTGCTCCCTCGATTTCACTGCTTACGCTTCTCCTCAACTGGTGCATCGCTCTCTTCCTTCTTCCGTTTCCATTGCTTTTTATCATCCGACATCGATCCTGGCTACCTCGACAAAGCAATGTAAGCAACGTGCTGAGATAAATCTAAAGGTTTAAATTGCTCGGATGGCACTCCCAATGTGAGAAGAGAACAAAAGACCATTCAGATGGCATCATAAATCCCGTACCAATGTAGACACGACCGCGACTAAGATTCAAGTGCTGCAGAAAAGACTAAAGGAACGAAGGGATTACCGCCTGTAAAAAAGTGCAGAAAAGACTAAAGGAACAGCGGTATGACCACCTATAATAAAGCACAGGCTAATACAAACCTACCAAACACAATCTTCCTCGAGATGGATGGGTCAAGTCATGAAACTTGGTTATTTTGATCAGCATGGCTGCAAGTGCACTAGGTTTATATTTTTGAACTGACTACGGCTAAAATCATGACTGCTTCAACCAAAAAAGGCTCTAGCTGACATTGATGCTGCGTTGATAAGCACCTAACAAATAAACGTTGATAAGCACCCTAACGAGGTTTATTCTATGTTAGATAAGCACCCTCTTAACAAGCTTTATTCTATAGACCACGATATCGAATAACATAGTAAGGACCAAAGACTTGATAAGCACCCTAACGAGGTTTATTCTACGTTTGATAAGCAACCTACCTTAACAAGGTTTATTCTTACAGGCCAGGAGATAGAATAACATAGTAAAGAGCAAAGACTACCTATCCGATCTCTCCTGCACCTCTTTCATGGGACAAGTTCCCATGCCCATCCATTGGATAGGCCTTTGAGTCGACATCCGAGGCATGCCTCTAATGGCAGCACCTCTTTTTCCTTAACGACAGTAACTGGGAGCTGCCTCTTACTTGCTTCGATCGGTTAGGTAATCTAGACTGCCTTCGAAGCAACTGATAAGAACTAGAGATTGTTAGCGCCTTATCACCAGTCTAGCCAAGCAAAGTCACTTTTGGATTCACTTCTTTAGTGCACACCCGCATGAAGGGATTTTGGGGTCCTACTGAATAACAGAAAAAGAGAGATGGAAAACTCCAAAGTAGTTGACCCACCTTGCTTTGTTTTTTTTTTTCACGATCGGGAAAATCAGTCTTTGGTGGCCTTCTCCATCCGGTCAAAGGAGATTATGCTTCAATGGAACTAGGCTACTTGGAACGATGGAAAAAAGAGGAAGATTACAGATCATTCCATATGGGGCTTCCCATCGAATGCATCATTCTCTCAAAGACAAATCGAAAGTATTGGATAAGAGGGACGTGGGATAAGAAAAAGAGGCAAGAGGAAATTGGGAATTATATTGCCCAGCGAACTGAAGAGGCAGAGAGAGCATAATTTCTCAAATACCCAGTACATTTTTGCCTCTAGCTCCTTCTCATTCAGGATGTCGTCACCTCCAAACAAGTTCGCAAGTTACATAAAACAACTCCTATGATCTGAGACTCGCATGGTTTCCACCATCTACACTATCACAGCGATATGGGCATCTTCTCAAGAAATAAGTGCAGTAGTAAATGGTAATAACATACATAAACATAAAACAAATGGTAGTGATATAAATATATATCTTCAGCGTGTAGTCACCGATATAAATATAATAAAGAACGTCAATTTCCTTAAGAGTTATGAAATGGAAAGATTAACGTGTATGAATAAATACAAAGCAAAAACTGAATAACATAAACAAATCTGGTAACAAATTCTGTTGATCTTGCTTTCTCTAAGCATTTAACGGAACCAAAGGTCAAGTCGAAAAAACAACATAAAATGATCTGGATTACACTGCTTATCTAAAAACACACAAAAATATATGAGAAAATATAGCTCTGGCTTCTGTGGTACCCCTAGAAACATGTCAAAACAAAGACTGGGTAAAGTTGTGATCACCTGCCAAAAAAATTACAGCTTCTCAAGTGGAACGATCTCTCAAACCTTATTGATTAATGGGAGGATGTCCTTGAAGTATCAGGCACGAAGCCAGTGAAAGCACGTAGAACTCATGGCTACCCTCAGTTTCCTTCATAGCAATTAGAATTTTCTAGCAGCAACCAAATTGTTGAACCAATAACAATGGACAGAGCAAATAGTATATAACACAGTCTAGAAGGGGGGTCGAAGTGGTGATTGCAATCTAACCCAAAATCTAAGGAACATTCATAACTTGGATGGATTGTAACAAGTCCGAGACAGCAATGACAAGGTCCCCTGATTTGATCATTCCCCTAGCCTTGAGCAATGAGAAGGTTTTATTAAGGTTGCTTTCCATATCATCAGAGAAGCTCAGGCGGAAAGGTATCAGGCCCCACTGTAGGTTCAGGCGTCTCCTTACAGATATCGTGCTTGTGAAAGCAAAGATTGGGCAATCAGGTCTGCAACGTGACAAGAGAGAAGCCGTGTGACCTGTCTTTGTGTAGACAAAGAGTGCATCTACTCCCAAATTGTTAGCTGCAAAATCACAAATAAGTAACAAGGCAGGTGGGGGCTCAGAATCTAATTGCTGGAGAAGCTGGACAAACTGACAACCACTATCAATAAAGTATGCAAGTCTTGAAAGCCAAACAAAGCAAGGGAAAAGGAAAAGAGGTGCTTGGTTGAACGAAAACAATGTATTTAGATGACCTGAGACAATTTAGAACTGTATGACACAATGTTCAGAAAAAGGTAACTCAATTTGATGGCAATAAGACCAAAATGAGAGAAGAAGATAAAAAAGGAAACAATAGCAATTGATGATCATGCAGTAGGATGCAGAAGAAAAATTTCAAACAATATGCACGACCTAATTATCCAAATTCTCCATTGAACATCCTGTGACCTATATATCAAAGCATTTGTACCCTTAATTTTGGAGTTTGGACCACTTCTAGAAATATCGCCCATCAATAAAATACAACAGCATATTCTAAATCGCTAGTGTAGTTTTCCAATCAAAACATGATGGGTGCATTTTCATCATTTTCAATTGTCTTTACCCCAGGTATTAATATTCCACAAATAATGGGTTTACACAATGATTTTTTTTTTCCAGAATTGAAAAACTGAAGATGTACTAATGAACTATATTTCCACTTATCCATGCTTTTGAAACGTGAAAGAGAAAAGAAAAGGGAACCCCCAAAAGTTATTTTAAAATAAGGTTTCTGTGAGGTGCTTGTTTTTCAACTAGTTGAATCAGAAAATTGAGGCCAGGTACACCTCTGACGCTAAAAACAGCACAGTTAATAGTAAAAGGGTCAATAAATTCATTAGCAGATGTCTAGAAGACTAGAACCAAAGTGTGCATACCCATCTTGGCAGCAGAACTGCAAATCTCTTCAGAAATACTGTCAGAAAATGAGGATCCTACAGCAGGGAGTTCCATAGCTTCATGGCGTTTCTCTTCTCTCCACCATTTCTCAATTCTCACACTGACACTTCTCAGAACAGCCAATGCCTTATCTGGGTATTGGCCCATGGCTGACTCACCAGATAGCATCAAAGCATCTGCCCTTTGCCTAACTGCTTCAGAAACATCAGCTACCTCTGCCCTGGTAGGTGTAGGGTATTCAATCATAGATTCAAGTAGCTGAGAAGCAACAATAACTGGCTTATTTAGCTGCCTACAAACTTGAACAATCTTTTGCTGAGCTGATGGGACCTGTTCTAATGGTATCTGAGCACCTAGATCTCCTCTGGCTACCATTGCTCCATCTGATGCTTGAATGATCTCCTCCAAGTTCTTTAATGAGTCAATACTCTCTATCTTTGCAATGACAGCTATGTCACTGAATCAGAATTAAAAATCAGTGCCAGTCCAGAAAATTGACACCCATGTCAACCATTTTAGCAAAGAAGGCAAACACTAGAGAAAAAGCATATGCAACATATGTGACTGTTATTTTCAATAAGACATCAACTCAGTTTCGGTTGCAACTGTCAATGGTAAGATAAACCAACCTAATATTTGAGATCAAAAGATACCAGACACAATAAAGAAATCAAGACAAACTCAGTCCACCAAATACTCAGACAAATGAAATATTGGATGTATGTCCAGATAATGGAAAAAAAGAAAAGAAAAGAAAACTTCTAAATATTGCATTAAGTAACAAAGAGTCCAGTCTTTTTCAGATTGGGGGACTGGCTAAGATGAGATTCAATCATAAGAGTGGAGACTGGAAAGCATTACATATATCAATTTGACATGCCTTACCTATCACGAGACCGTGCAGCTATGTAGCTTTTAAGATGGGTAATCACTTCAGCGGACTTGACAAATGATATCGCAATGAAGTCAACACCCTCTGCAATCCCAAAATCAATGTCCAACCAATCCTGAAAATATACATGGAGGGAGGGGGTGGTCGGGGTCAGATGAACATTTTCAAACTTTGCAGATAAAGGTGTAGTAGAGATGGGTTTATTGGAATGAACTCTCTACAACCCCTATTTATGAGGGACCTTTCAGCTCAAATTGAGAAAAATTGCTTCCAGAGTTACGGTCAACATAGATTTCTGATATGAGTTGACCTAGAAATTGATGGCGAGTCCTTTACTTGGAGTATATTTTATATATATGACCCTGCACCTTAGTTTTTGAAATGCAATTTATTTCAAAAATATATATGTTAACCTCTACTTTCAAAAAGATGATGGTATCCCCACGAAAGAAGAAATTCCCAGTATAAAGGGGATGGAAGGAGTATGGCAGAAAAGGATATTTCAGTATGAAAGTTCATTCACATGAAGTTTTCACTTAATGCATCATATAATGGACAGGCCAAGTCATGTATAAACCCAAAAACATGATCCCTGATGATTGACATGAAAGCATTCCCATTCAAAACCATCTGTCTTAATTGGCATGCCCTTCATTTGTGTAATAATAGAATTTCTATTTTGAGAATCCATGACAATGGGCCAACTTCTTCTTCTTTTTTTTTTTTTTTCCTTGTGAGCGTGGTCAACAGACAAACTTTAGTTATAAAGAAATTTAATTTCAGCTTGAGGAAATAAACTAGCCAGTTAATGGTGAGAACCAACAAACAGATAGATAGAGAGAGAGAGAGAGAGAGAGAGAGAGAGTGGAAATGAAATGAAATAGAGAAAAATTATTTTCAAAAGGATGGTGGTATATCTTCTCTAGATAAAAATTCCCCACGCCTTCTCTAGATGTCAGTTTCTATATGCATCTTCTTGTTAATATTAGCATGAAACCAAGAAAATTTCACATTTAAAAAAAAAAGAAGAAGAAGACACCTTTGCGTCCCAAAAACTTGAAAAGAAGAAGAAGAAGAAGAAGTTCTTGAAGCATTTAAAGACATGCTGGGAAAATCAGGCTTTTTTACTTACTGTTTCACACTTGGCAAAAGCTATTAATTTTTATAACAGAGAAAAGACTGGAGGTACCACCAACCTTTGAGGAAATTGTGGGGAGCATGGCATTACGTTCTCGTACTAGACTTCCATCCCTCCAGAAAGTCAAATTAGCCCGTGGTAGCATCAATCCAGGATCCGTACACCTACACTTGACATCTGGACCAATTTTCTCTATCACTTCAAACCTCACCATTCCACCATCAACAAGAAGTTCATCCCCAACTTTCACATCTGTATCACATAAATTATGGGTTTGAATTAGACTAAAGATTTATAGTTTCTTGCAAAAACAAATAATAATATCATTAAGGCAATTACCCTCAGCAAAACCATCATAATTCACATTGATGGTGCGTTCTGGTCGAGGCAAATCAAATGCTCGCACACTAAAAGTCCAAATTTCACCATCCTGCACACGCACGCCCAACAACTCAATACAATTACCTCCAAATAGTTATGAAATTTTGCAAAAATGACTTTTATTCTCAATGTACATTTTATAATTCTAACAACCAAATTACTTTGTGGATTATATACCCTCTCTGTCCCAAAGGGATTATCCCCTTTCATTTTTCACCTAGCTTAAAGAAACTTATTAATTGTTATGTCATGTCAGATTTTTTTGCTCGTACTTTCCTAAAATACCTTCCTCTTTTAATTTATTAGTTATCAAATTTAATTGAACCAATATTAATTTAAAGAGAAAATATATCCAAAATTAAAGTGATAAATCAAAAGAAAAATCATTAAATTAATTAACCATAAGGTTTAAAACAATTATGAAAAAAATAACATACTGATGGAAATATTTTACTCTCAAAATTTCAGCATGCAGTAAAGTTCCTAGAAGAACGAATATTTTTTATGTAACAAGAAATGTTTACGTTAAAGGTGTATTTTTTCACGTAAAAAGAAATTTTCATGCTAAAGGAATTTGTACGTATAAGAAAAAAGTATAAAGAATATTGATTTTTTGTTAGTGAAGAACAGGAGAAATGGAAAAACGAATTGATTTCTTTATCAATTATATCAATTAGGGTATTTTAGAAAAGTAAGTTGTTTAAATTTTTTATCAGACAAGCATTTTGAACAGATATAAATAGAAATGGAGACAATATCTATGCAAAAGAGGGAGTGAAAATTTAATTAACCAATTTTAGATAATATATATATATATATATATATATTAGCCTCATGCTTCAATTGAGTTCACATAACATCCATAAAAAAAAATAAAAAAAATAAAAAATAAAAAAGGCTAAAAAATCACATAATTTTAGTTAATTAACCAAAATTGCAATGTTACCTCAGCTTTAGCAGAGGAAGCACCACCAAGATCACCCATATGAATCTCACTGCCTTCAGTATCCATCATAATAGCAACGGCAAAACCTTTCTCTTCATTTAATCTCCTCACTCGCTCAATTACTCTCTTATGCCACTCACGAGTCCCATGACACATGTTAATCCGTGCAACATTCATGCCTCCAACAGCCAACGCCTCCAATTCCTCAAATCCACACGTCGCTGGCCCGATCGTGCACACCAGTTTTGTCCTCCTCGTGCTCCTGAACCCATTCTCCTTCAATTCCGCCTCCGTCACCGCATCTACCTCTATCGAGCTCGAGTCGGAGAGAACTGACTGTGACGGTGGCGTATCATAGTCCTGTGGTGTAGAGGATAATATCCCGCTCGCTCCGGTTCCGTTATTAGAGATTAAGACTTGAGGAGACGTGGAGGCGTTGGGATCTGATGACGTGGAAGCTTTGATTGAGATAAGTTTCGGAGAGAAGTTGGTGACCGGGAACCGGCGAATATTGGAGGGTTTAGGGTAAGGTTGTTTGGGGAAAGTGAGGTTAGAGGGAGTGAAGATGTGTAATGATTGAGACATGGTTACAGAGAAAATGTGAAGTCCGCTGATGAGAGGGAGGGAAGGTGTGTTTGGCGGTTACTTTGAGAGGAAGTGAAGGGGTTTTTTAAGAGAAGGAGAGAGGCGGATGTAACGAGGAGAGTAAAGTGGGTACGAGCTTTGTAGATGTCGCCGAGAGCGAGCAAGGCAGGAAGGGGACAGACCTAGCGTTGGTTGCCAAACAAGATTTGTTTCATACTTGTCTTTCAGCATTTCCAGTCGTAGCGTTGGCGTTTAATGAAACCGCTAAATTGGGAGCGGAGAGATGATACAGTGGTGTTTGGTGTAGGGAGTTTCGTTACGTGGTTGAGTTTGATTGGTTGGATGCATGAGATAGAATTTTGGTCCCACCTGAGATTTTTGTTTGCAGTTTTTTTTTTTTTTCATCTGATAGTTTCATTTTTCATTTAGAGTTTCTGACTACCGGCCGGCTGGCTGCTGCAAGTAGTACCACGAGCAACCTCTATATTATCTAATTAGGTTTTACATATATTGAGATCCTATGTAATTTAAATTTTTTATTGAGATCTTATTTTTTTTATCTAATTTAAAAGTTTTATCTTTATGTGTTTATTGTTTCAAATCTTAATGTATCACATAATCTCATGTAGCAATCTCTAACCAATGATAGCTGCAACGTGTTCATTGTAGACCCAAATTAGATGATTGAATTGATGACATGGTAAGTTATTATCGGTTAGAACTTACCACATGTGCTTATATGACAAGTTATCGTTGATTAGGATCCGAAACAACAACAATATAAGTGTAGAACTCTTAAATTGGATGGGAAAAAAATTTAGGATCTCAATAAAAAAAATCGAATTGTACAAAGCCTCAATATGCTAAAACCCATCATCCAACATAGAGCTAAGAAAATAGACGAGTGAGAATGATTTTTACTTCTTAATTTTGTTTTTTTAACTAACTTGACGATCATCAATCATCCATGAAGTTTATGGAAGATAAGATAAGAAAACTAAGACTCTTTTAATATCATGACATGTTTTTGTTTTTTGTTTTTAAAATTTTTTAAAACAACAAAAAATAAAAAATGATTATTAGAAAAGCCGATAAATGGACCATAAAAAAAAAAAGATCAAACTTAACATAAGTAGTGCAAATTTTAAAAAGAGTTTTGAAAAATAGAAATAACAAAATCGGCCCTAAAATTTTGATAAATCTGCAAAGTTCTTTTTTAGGCCTTATACTACTAAACTCTATTATACTTAAACGCCTTAATTAATCTCATTTGCCTCTCTCTTTCTATCTCTTTATCAAGTTTATGAATTTTAAACACAACTTTTAAAATTCCAACTCTTATTATCCTTGATAAGATTTTATTTTTATTCTTTTATGTTTAATGAGATTTTAATTCATTTTTTTAAGAAGCCAACTTAATCATCAATAGCTACCAGATTAAGTTCCAACCATCGACTATAACTCAAAGGTTAATTAGCTATCAACCATTAAAAAAAAAAAAAACTCAATGTTCTCAAAAAAAAGAAAAAAGAAAAAAAATCATCAAATCTATGAAGTCTAATAAATATTGAAAAACAAAGGCTAGACTAATTATAAAATGTCATATTTCAACATGAAATAAACTTTATTTCAAAATGAAATAATTTCAAGTCCGTACTTTATGTATTGATAGCTCTCTGACTCTTTGAAAGTAAGTGATTATGTTTTGATGTTCATGTGTAAAGTTTAATTAATAGAGTTTTGTATCAAATAAAGGATGAAAGGATTTGATTTTGGATTTTTATCTATTTTTTAGTAGTTTTTTGTACAAAAGATGTTGCGATTTCACTTATCTTAAAAACAAATAAAAATGGAATAAGAAATTCATTCGTACATGATTATAATTGATTTACTAAAGATTATATATATCGTAAATAATTTACTCCACAATGATTTAAATGCCAAATCGATGTGATACAACATTCAAAATTATGAATTGAGTTCTCAATAAAAAATAAATCATTTGTTCCAACTTTTATATGAAAGTTTTCACAATATTAAAACCATCATTCTAAAAATGACTCGTTACTTTATAAATTGGCTTCATGAAAACGTAGTTGATCATATCATTAAAGTCCATCTTATCTTACCTACTTTTAAATTAAAAAGATAGAAAGTTTGTGACAACATGTGACATAGGTTTTGTTTTATATATAAAAAAAAGCATAAGCTTCCAACTGCATGCTACATTAGCTTCTAACAATAATATAACATTTGATAGACAACAAGTTAATCACAATTTAAGTTTATCAAGTTGTTCATTTTTTTCTAATCAAGTGTGCCTTTTAAAATCTTTGTTATTTGAGTAATCTAAAAGAACACAAGCTTCTGTTGCATGCCACATTAGCTTCGACAATAATATAACGTTTGATAGTCAACGAGTTAATCACGGTTTCGGTTTACTAAGTTGTTAATTTTTTTCTAATCAAGTGTCTTTTTAAATCTTTGTTATTTGGATAATTCAAGTGGTAATTTTTTTTTCTAATCAAGTTACTTCATTAGTTTTCTATCAATTTTTTCGGTATATGCACGTATGACCTATTAGTGAGACCTACTATACATGTGGTAATGATGTGGCGGATATATGTGAGACACGTGTCCGTCATATGTAATTAACATGGAAAATTGGAAAAAAAAAAAAAAACCACTTGCCATCCCTAAAAAAGTTAGCCATACATGTCCCTCTCTTTTTTCATCTTCGAAAAACCCATAAAACCACCCACACCTCAACTACCTCATCTTGTTACATGTCTCTCGTTCCACTCCACAATTGCCATCTCCTTTTTCAAAACTACCATAGCCATTAAACCACCATTACCCACTGATAATCTCTTCTCTTGCACCACCAACAACCTTCCTCTTTCACCATCGCTAGCCATCTCCTTCTCTTCCTTATGAACAACCACCAAACTACCACTGCCTCCAAGTCATAAAAACCCGCTCCATCGACCATTCCTAAAACCGGTTAGTGCTAGAACTATCTCCCTCTATTTCCATCACTAAAAAAACCAATAAAACCATCACACATGTAAATCCCTCTTTAAATAGACCCTCATTTTGTTCTTTTGCCATACAAACCTCACCATCGCAAAGTCGAGTTATGGACTTTTTGTTTCTATTTAAATTTGCTTTGCTTTACTCGATGGTAGGTTAGGTGGAGGCAATAGTTTGATTGCTTTGTGGTGATGGTTTTGACAAATAAGAAAGAAGTGACAAACGGAGGAATGGGTTTTAGTGGCTAATGGTGAAGGCTGAAATGGATTTGATTTTTAAATGATTTTTTTGAGGTACTCTAGTGATAGTGGTTGAGAGAAGAGGGAAGAAGATAGGTAGTAGTGAGTGAGAGGAGTTAAAGTTGTAAGACAAAGAGAAAATGTGAGACATGTTAATTTGGTGGAGATGGCAGTTGTGATGTTGGTCTTCAGTGAAGATGGCGAGTTGAAGGCATAGTTTTAAAAAAGGCCATTACATAACATAATTGTTGTTATATAATACTAATAGAGCACCTGGTTATTGTTATTTGGTGTTATGGGTGTCCCGAGATCGTTTCACACGGATAACGATAAATGATGATGTTACCATTATGTAACGTCATTATTTATCATTATATAATGATGTTATAAAAAAAGGCTAGAATTTAAGCCATTTCAACTGCTGAAATTCAGGCAGAGAGGTAGAGATGAGAGACAAAAGAGAGAAAGGCGAGAGATGATAAGTAGGTAGAGATGAGAGGCAAAGAGGATGAGAGGCGAGAGAAGAGAAGCGAGAGAGGGAGAAAAGTTTTGGATGATAACGAGAGGTAGAGAATTAGATGAGAGAAGAGAGAGGAATTTGGAAAAAAAAAAAACTTTCATTTTGAAAAGCAAGAGACGTGAAGGCTTTGATATCAAATACTTATATTTACTAGTTTTTGATTGAATAAATCATAAATTAGTCCTCTTATTTTGAAATAATAATTTAGTTAGTCCTTTTATTTCAAAAAACAATTATTTATTTATTTTGTTCATTTTATATTGTTAATTTATTTTTCTTTTTATTTTAAAAAATAAAAAATAAATTTATACCATGAAAACGAGTGATAAAAAATTACTTTATAGAATAAAATATAATAGATTAAAACACTAATGTATGATTTAATCTTTTATTATTCTACTTTGGTTGTCTAGCATGCATAAATTCAAAGTGGTACAAAGCAAATGCTATTTTAATTGAATAAATTATAAATTAGTCCTTTTAGTTTAAAAAGATAAATTAGGTGGTCTTTATTGTTTCAAAACTTATTAGTTTTTATTTTATTTTATGTTATTTTCTAATTTGCTTTTCAAAACTACTTATGGTTGTAATTTTGATGGATAAGAATCACAACATCAATAACAAAATGATAACCATTATTATGATTCACCACGATAATTATTTTAAAGATGAATATTTTGTAATGTGTTTATTGAAATTTTAATGTATTTTATTTTTATTTTTTTGATATTTATCTATTAGAAGTGCTATTAATTATTTTTGTAATAAATTTAACCATTTTTACATGATATTAAACTATTAGAGATGTTATTACTTATTAGAATGCTTAATTAGTAAAACTATTAAAAATATATGAATTAGAATAAACTTATTAATAGCTACAAATGTATTCATGATATCGATTACCGCAATTGTTATTTTACTATCGCGATAAGTAGCGATCCGTGATCGCAATTGTGATAATTTTTTCAATCATAATCGTTGTTTAAAACTATGGTTGAAGGAGACTGCAGATGGTAGCTATCCGGTGGTTAAGATGGTGTTTTTTGTTTGGATAAGAGAGTGATGAAAGAGAAGGAAAAAGGGCTAGCAATGAGAGGAAAAAGCTAAAGTGGTTTAATAAGGAGAGAATGGAAAGGCAACTAGGGTTTCTTTGGCGAGGAGGAAGAGATTTTTCTTATTTTTTTTCATTTTCCTCGTTATTTACACATGACAACCACGCGTCTTAGATGTGGTTACCATATGTCTCATATGTGGTTGCTACATCATTTTATGTAAAACAAGTCCCATTAAGGGGTCACGTGTGCATATAACGAAAAAAATGAAAAAAAACTAACGAAGACACTTGATTAAAAAAAAATTACAACTTGAATTATTCAAACAACAAAGATTGAAGATGAAACACTTGATTAGAAAAAATTGACAACTTGATAAACTAAAATTGTGATTAACTCAAATAGTCAACATTAACTACCTTTTATTCATTTCATCCTTTTGTGTCTATCTCCACATCTTTCTATGTTAGTGGAGCGATCACACATGCCTCTTGTCTTCTTCAAATAATTTAATAATTGAATTTGAGTTATAATAATAACAATAATAATAATAATAATAAATTTTACCTTGGTGTCTCTATCTTTTTTGTGGCTTATATCTAGAAAAAGGTGATTTCACTTACTTCATCATGTACTCGACATCACTCAATCCGATCAAGTCGATTTTTATCTAGTTTGACTAAGATCAAAGAAAGTTAGGTAATAACTCCATTCGATTTCACTTGGATTGGGTGTGAGGTTAGATGGCGAGTTCACCCGACCTAGTATTTTAACTATTTTAATCTTTTTTTATTAATATAGATGATTATTATAATACCTATAAAACAAACCTAACTATGCAATTTTTACTTTTTATCTAAATTTCAATCCGTAAACAACAAAAATATTTTCTTTAATTTTTAGTATATATAATAATTATTAAAATATTATATTGAAACTCTTACAAATATCAAATTAAGTGTCTAACTTTACTTTGTGCTTGAAGTTTAATTTATAATTATTAATATACGATGATAATAATGATTGATTATTATTGATCAATAATAATATATAAAACTAGTATGTTAATATACTTTTATATTATATAATATCTTTTTATCAAGTATTGATTAGTATAGTAGTTGATGTATTCTTTTTTAAGTACACAATATAAATAAGTTTAACAAATAATGATGGTGTGTTGTTTTGTCAACAAATTAGTAATTTATATTTCCTCACATAACCCAACCTTAATGGTGTAGACGGGATAAGCAAGGGTCAAACCTATAGGGAAGTTGTAACGCCCCGCCCCAATCATATTTCTACTACCCAAGTAGAGTGCTTGGACGAAGCACGTTACGGCGACATACCTTAAACTCTAAGTAGTGTTCTTATGATATTCTTAGGACTTTAACGATACATTACGTATATAACTCCTTAAGATAAAATTTACATAACATAATTAAATACATTAATAAAACATTACGGGCGATATTCAATTTCTCACGAACTCCATACCCTAAATTTACGAGACAAAATAAAAACTAATATATGGTGCCTCACATGAGCCGGTTAGGAGGAGCCAACCGCTTTCGTACCAACTTGTCCTTTTTACGTCAAGACATAAAAAAAATAACAACGGGGTAAGCCGAAGCTCGGTAAGCGGGGTGATGCACGTGATATTCAATGTTGTTTTGACTTCCCACCATACTCATAAATTTTAATCTCGGGTACCACAGGTATTAGCCGATCTACTCTATTTATCATCCGGGTGGTCGGTAAATCACCTTCTGCTACAACGGAATTATCCCTCGTTGTAACTACGTTAGCGAGAATCCATCGTCTAATAGTGTAAGCACACGGCTTGATTTCATCCGGATGATCCTCGGATCATCTTCTGCTACAACGAAATTATCCCTCGTTGTAACTACTATTAGCAAAAATCCATCGTCTAATAGTACGAGGCACACATCCTAGAAGTCTTGGACTACTAATACCCATTTATTCAATTTAGGTTATCAAACCTAGATGTACAAGCTAACTTTAAACATGTTTTAGTTCACTTAAATTTAGTCTAAGTTCAATCCAACCCATCACCATATACTTGGAAATTTTTCAAAAAATCATAACATCATAAATCATCACAACAAGGCATCCATACATAGATTTATCCCAAGCATCAAGCATATAACCATTGAAAATTATTACAACCCATGAAATAAACACTAACAAAATAACTTTAAAAAAAATAATTTAAAACATTAATCAGCCAAAAAAATGAAACCTACTTACCTCTTTTAGGTTTGATTAGAATTTCTTTAGCTCTTTTTCTTTCCTTTTTCCCTTTTCTTTCTCTTTTCTTTCTTTCTCTCTTTTTGCTGTTTTTCTCTCTTCAATTTGGCTTCTCTTTTTAATTCCGGATGGCTACGATTTTTGGCTTAAAAATGGCAGCCATTTAACCCTCTATTTCCCTTATATACCCACCTTTTATCCTCTCGTTTATTTATATCATAAGTGTTAAAATTTAACTAGGCCAAATGTAAAGTGGAGGAAGCTTGAAAGGCAAAGTCGGCATGTTTTGGAAGTCAAAGGTGATGATTTGGCTTCCAAGCATTTAATTCAAGTGCTTAGGTGAGTAAAGAAAACTTAGGCTAAATAAACACATTAATAAGTCTGGGTTAATGTAAGTAAACATAATTTCTTTCATAAAAAATTCAAAAATTTTCATTTTTAAAATTCAGAATTTCTTTTTCTCCAAAATTTCAGCAGTGTTACCTCCTAACCCATCTATACTAAAATGTGCATAACTCTTTCTATATGTATCCAAAAATTATGAAATTTTATAGAGAGCTAGTACACATATAGAAAAAAAAACTTTTATGCTTTAAGTTTTGCTAAAAAAATCAATCTAACGAGCATCAAATAAATCTCACAAGATTCGGGCGATTCTTCTCCCAAAATTCCAACGGAATGCATTTCGAAACAACCCTCACTATAATTGGTATAACTCTTAATGTATAGGTCCAAATATTATAACATTTTATACAAGCTTATTCAACACATAGATGAAAAACTTTCATTCTTTAAGGTTG